AGAAAGAAAGAAAGAAAGAAAGAAAGAAAGAAAGAAAGAAAGAAAGATTGAAATGAGAAAGAGGGAATGTCTGCTCTAGAACTTGGCCACCAGCAGCTCTGCTACTCTTTTGCCATTCCTTGCTCCCTCCCTGAACCCTCTCCTGGTGATCTCACGTCTTGTCTTTGAGGATGCTTTGCTTACAAAGTTGGGTCTCCTCACATGGAGAAAGATTGGAGACATGGAGAAAGATTGAGCTTCCCTCTGACCCACACACTTTGCCCTCCCATACCCACTATAGCAACTGGCCAAGTAGAGAGAGCACAGTAGCAGCAGCCTCAAGGAGGAAGTAAGTGTGGCTGGGGACCCCCTTGGGGAAACAGAACTGGGCTGGGCTGTGGATTTTATTTAATCAAGATAAAATAATTTGTATAATTGAATTATATATTATATTATATTCTTATAAAAAGGTAAGAAAATGAAAAAGCACAAATATATAATCCTAACGTTTATGCCCTCCCACACACAAAATACACAACTCATAAGATACCTATTGTAGATAAGATACACAAATTGCGCTCTAGGGCTGACCCAATCAGAAATGAACTGTTTTTGTCTATTATTAGTTCTAAGTACTGTATGCAATTTTAAAAAATATGCACGAATCTTCATATGTAAATGATTTTTGAACATTTGTTCTCCAAAATGCTAAACATATTTCAAATATAAACCATATCAGTTTACTCCTGAACTAATAAGATACATACTTTTACATGCAATTTGTTCTTTGAGGCCTGAAAGATACTTTTTCAAGAGGCAACTGGACTTTCTGGGGGTTTTTTTGAAGATGTTTAGCTTCTCATCCAAGAAGCTTCTTCAGTTCAACTGGCCTTTTGAGGGTAACCATAATGCTAATGTGGCCTCAATGAAATTGAGTTTGAAATTAAAGCCATCCTAGAAAATGCCTTTGCATGTTGGAGGCAGAGACCTTCTGTATGTACCTGTGAATGGGAAACTAACTTGGGCAAGGATTGATGAAGTAGGCCTTCTGATTACAACTGAATGTACATTTATTCATGGTGAATACATTAGGAGACTGGGCAAAACCTAGAAACTACATTGCCACAGTTTGCCAGGAAAAGAATCAAGATTTGTGGACTTTAATTTCGACAATTCCTCATTGATGTATCTTAAAACTGAGAAATAAGGTCAAGAAATACTTTCCTAAAAATGGTGCTAGATCTCTAAAATCAAAACGACCTGTCCAAAGGTCTTGCAAAAAGAAAAAAAGGCTTTAGAAGACAAAACACACTGTTTTAGAACATCATATCACATTGTCTAGCATTTTTTAGGTAAGGTGAGTTAACACTTTTGGAAGATCATGAAAAGTTAATAAAACCAGATAATCCAGATACTGGAGTGACATATTCAGGACTGAGTTTCTTGCTTACAGTTTTTAAGTATGCCCCGTTCAGAATTTGAGCAAAGCTGCTGCTTCTTTTATATAACATGTTATATTATGACACTCTTTTTTAATGGACACCTCTTTAAAATTTTTCAAATTCTTACCAGCCAGGCTGGCTGAGAATCTTCCTAACTATAGTTCTAGCATTATTAGTGGATGCTAGAATGGGTAGACCTTTACCAGTCATGGGAATTTGCAACAGAAAATTTATGGAGAGAAAAATGAGAGAAAAGGTTTACAGTTAAGGCAAAGGCTAGAAATCAGGAGACTGTGAGTTCTAGTGCTGTCTTACATATGAAAGCTGTCTAGGTAACTTGTACCAGTCACTTTTTCTCAGCCCACAGGGCTGCTGTTGTGGAGAAAATGGAGGAGGAAAGTGTGTTGGAAATGTTTTCCATCTTATTTATAAAAAAAATAATAAAGACCGACATAAATAAAACGAATGTTTAACTGTATTTTAATATATTATTCAGTTCAAACCAGCAATGCAGATCTATGTTACCAAACTAGAATGTGCCTTTCACCAGCCACTGTGTTAGCTGGATTTCCTATGAATAATTGTTCAGCACAGCCTTGGTCATTTCTGAAGCCCCAAATTATTTAGTCTTGTATCAAGCAAAAAGCTTGACAATGATATTGTCAACTGTCACACTGGACTAGACAGCAAAAGTAACTCCTGGGACATTTTTTTTTACCAAGAGTATAATTTTACTGAGGATTCCATAGAAGTAGAAAAGTCAGTTCTAAGTATTTCGTGCGCAAACAGTATAGGAAAACTTTCCCTCCCCCCCCCCCCCGGGCCTCCCATTATCTATTGTCCACCAATCATTTATACTTGCTTTGTTTTGGGACTAGTTTTTATACCTCAGACGTTCCCAGCCAGTGACCTTGGGTTGTTGGGTTTGTCTTAAGCTTCCAGTCACCACATTTGCATTCCAAATTTCTCTTTCCAACCTTCCCTTACATTCCAATGCATTGCCTCCCCTTTCCTTATTATGTTATTATAGCTGAGTACCAAGTCAACCATGACAATTATCCTTCAAGATAAAAAACATTTTTTCTTTCTTTTATTTTATATATTATGGTATTGAAAAGTAGTTTTTTAAAGACAAAAATATTTCACATATTATGAAAGTTTACACAATAGATGGCAGTTGCACAGACAATTACAGGTAATGATCAGGTTACAATGCTATTTGAGACTGGGACTACCATTGCTAAGCAATGCAATTTTAAACCGTGATATCATTGCCTTCATCAGAAAGATATCTGGCTGGGCACAGAGAAAATCAAAATTAAAAACAAGATGATAAAGAAATTCAGAAATTATAAATAAATCATGCCACCATGCCATGCAGAATTTTAAAAAAATGTTTTAAAAAATCTGTCTTGGTCATCAGAAACATCAGAAACAAAGTATTTGTGATGGACAGTGTCAATTTTTTTCATTCATACTTGCTTGCTACCTTTCACTTGCCAATGGCCACTTGAAAAGGCCTTCATATGTAGAAATAGATCTAGAGGATCTTTTCATATCAATGTTTATTCTGCTCCTTGAATGGGGCTAAGAAAAATAAGTGGCAATAATGTAATTCTTACAGTGTCCGAATATAATTATTTTTCTGCAACCAGATTCTTTACCAATTAAAATCTGAAGAATTCTGTATGAGATAGAGTAATCTAAATGGAATACAGTAATCTAAACAGAAGTAAGCTACAGGTCACTGAAACTATTTATCTCTTTCTTTGTAAATATCAGCTGGAAATTTTTCTAAATCTTGACATAAAGATAATGTGGGGTACATGATGCAATGAGAGGGACCTCTGAGATCTGGTGCAAATCATATATGAATTGGCAAGTGTGGTGGAGGGCTTTACAGACCCTATTCAGATTCTGCATATGTTCAGGAAGTGTAATGCTATGAGAAATTTGGCAAAGACCTTGAGAAATTTGGCAAAGAGATACTGCCAAGAGATTGGTAAAATAAAAGATAGTTCCACTCACAGCTGGATAGTCAGTGGAGAAAATGGCTCAGAAGATAATTTCTCTAGTTTGTAGGGCAGGGGATGAGGGGAGAGCTGAAGAATTGAATGTAGAAAGGAGAATGAACTCATTTGTCATATTTCCTGTCTGGTTTGCCCCACAAAGCAAACAGGAAGCTTATAGACAGGCAATGCATGCAAGAGAAGACCAGATGATAGATGGCATGGCATGAATCCACAAAGGGCCAGGCACTTACCAGAGCAACTTGCAATCTTTCCTACTAACATCTTTGTTGATAGACAAGCTTGAAAGCATCAGGCCAATACAATGATCAACAAACAGAAACATGCCCATTCTGGGTATGTGATCTGAATGGATGGTAGCCTAGGAAAAAAATAATGTTTTATAAGGATCAGGGAACAAGAAGACGACCAAGACCAAGGTTGAGGTGGGTGGACACTTTCAAAGAGATTACTGGGATTTATTTATTTTTTTGGAAGATTTGTAAAATACTATTAAAAACTATCCTCACAATGAGATGGGCAGTATACAAATTTAGATAGATAGACAGACAGACAGACAGACAGACAGACAGATGATAGAGTTGGCAAATATTTATCCACATATTCATCAGGAGTTGAACCTGACTTGATGGCACTTAATTCATTACTGACCAAGTAATATTGCTTTTCCATGTTTCCAGTAATAGCAGTAACACAGTATAACATAGATAGGCCTGGAGTTACGACCATAATTGGGACCAGAATTTCCACTGTTAAGCAAGGAGGTTATTAAATGAGTTGTACCTGATTTTACAACTTTTTTTGCCATGGTTGTTAAGCAGATCACTGCAGTTCAGTAATGCGTGTGCATAGAACCGCGCATAGAACTGGTTGGAAACAATTTGGAAACCTACCACTGCTGTAGTTATGTGAATTACATTTTCCTTGAGCAAATCCAGCTTTCCCCATTGACTTTGCTTGTTAGAAGATGCTGGGAAGATTTCAAATGATGATCACATGACCATATGATGCTGCAGCTAATAAATGCATGCTGGTTGTCAAGCAATGAATTTTAATCAGAGGACTAAGTTGACATTGTAATGGTTGTAAATGGGAGAACTGGTTGCAAGTTACTTTTTTCAGCACCATTGTAACTTCAGAAAGTTATTAAATGAAT